AATTTCTGTATGTAAGGATTTTAGTGTGTATGTGGGGCAGTGGCGTGCCATCATTGGAAGCTGTGGATGCGCTACTTCCCTTGTATTTTCTAAAAAATAAATACATATTAATTTTAATTATATGAAAATAATTGCACAATATTTTATTATAACCGCATTATGTATCTTATTACAAATTTCTATACTACACATGAAAAAAAAAGATAAGATTGCTATTGTATATTCAAATATTAGTGGTGGAGTGGAAGCACTGTATTGTCAGCATCCAAAAAGCCAGATTCGTGCATGTGCTTTACAGAGCATCAAACTCACCCGATTTAGCTGGTGGAAGCCTAGAACCTTGGGTGGATGCTATACGTATACCACATGCAATTCTATCCAGGATCAGTTCTGGGCTGTTAGCCACCTGCCTGCTAGATATTTGGCCGCCCTCGCCCGATTATTTAAATCATGAGTAGATTTATAACTTAACCCGACCGATAAGAATTTACTGGTATGTTTTTATGATAGTTCTGTATAGTTGACAGGAGTTTAAAAAATCTATTAAAATATTTGATATTTTTATTCTGCTCTCCCATCTTATATTACTTACAGATTTCAATGTTAAACCAGTGATATTACAATTTTGTATGTCTCATCTCTAAGGGGATGTAGAAAAAAATGTGTACAATTCTTGTATAATGTTAAAAAATTAACTGTTACTTTGACAGCATCATTTACAACTAAATTTAATGAATGAGAGAGATGCATGAGATACAGAAAAAGCTCTAGAATTTATTTTCCTTAAATTTACAATTTATGTATCCATTTGTCATAAAAATTTGTCTTTCCATTTTTTTCCCAAGACTACAAATATTCTAGTACAAAGTAACTGGTTTTGACTATTTCTACTTAAGAAGTAGTTAAATAATTAAGCAATTAGGGAATTGGGGACATAAACAAAACCCTGATGAAAGAGCCAAAATTTTACTTAAACAAAAGCTTAACCAAACCATCTCTAGCCAAGTACAGTGGAGACTGATTTCTTCATATTATTAATGTAATAAAGACAGAAATTTTTCCAGTTCAATGAGAGTAACTGAAAAGTTGTAAATTTTGGAAATTTCTGAGGACACTTGATCCTAAAACGAATTAGTTAGAAAAAAAATGACTATTAAGTTTAACATATTTAGATTTTTACAGCTATGGTGAGAAACGTTTAAAATCTACAACAGCCCTGTTGCGTCCTTTGAGATATACTAGTGATGCGACAAAAGAGATAAGAGAGAAAAAAAGAGAGTTGTAACAAAACTTCAAAGAGCAAGTCCAACTAGACAAAAAAGTGATAGCATCAAGAAAAATTGGTTGTTTGCCTTAATACGTGCATTTGATAATATTTTATTTGTGATTAAACAAAATAAAAATTGTATTAATAAATCTAATTTTCTTTATTCTGATCTTTAAAGTCACACCTCGTCCTACATGCGAGATTGTCTTATACACAAGTAAATATGGTATATACTGTAAAAATTCTTGTTGGCTGACATCTTGATAGGACATGATCCTATCTCCTATACTAAACGGTTCAGAGTGAGAAGTCTTGCATTTTCCATGTGAAAAATACTCAAACATTTTGTTATCCCTAAAAACATTCCTTGGAAATGCAGGTGTGAAAAATGCAGAAATATGGTAAATATATATATAATGGATATATATTGTCAAGAATTTGTTAATTAGAGAAGTTAAAATCTTGTTGAACTTAAAATACATTTCTCCTGACTACTACCAGCATTTGTCAATTTTTTTAATCAATTTATTGTTCAAAAAATTGATACTTCTCTTCTTTTAGAAGGGAATACTTGCTAATTTTTTTTGGACAACCAAGCCCTTTGTCACATGATGCACAAGTGAATCAATCAGCTTAGTAGCTAAATTACCTAGGTTTGCACAATCACCAGATGTTACATAACAAAGTTCATAAAAAAGTGAACTACTAAGTTAATTCACTTTTTTAATCACCTGATGATGGACTTAGTTGGCCAAAAGTCTCTGCATCCCTTACCTAAGCCCTCTTCAGCTCCTAATAACCCTGCTGATAACTTTAATGATGACACTGTAACCTGGAACCATTATCACTCTCTGAAGGATTCAATGACTAAAATATTAATCTGAATGACTTTTTTTAAAATAAATAAAATATTGTATCAAAAAATTAAAGTTTGTAACTTTTGCTGATTGTATTTTTATGTTCTGTAATNGGTGGTCGTTTAATACAGGTAACTTATACGAAGACTCTATGGATAAACTATTCCGTACCAGAAATTTTTGCCCGTTTTGACAGGTGCCCGTCCAATGCAGGTGGTCGCCTAAGCAGTTTTCACTGTATTTAATTTTCTTTTTGCTTTCAGTCAATCCTTTATAAGCATCAATTGCAAGTATTATTTCCATTAATTTACTGGTTTATACCTAAATAATAGTCTCTGTAACTAATTATGATTAATTGTGTTAGAACTCCTCATGGCTGGCTTGGTTGTGAAAATATAATGTTATTATACCACACTTGTGAGATTGCGCCAGTTTCTTAATTATGTTGTCTTCATCGTAATTACAGCATTTTCATATAACTTTTATGTATACTTTCTCATGTGTTTAATTAAAATACCAACTGAAAAGGGACTATTTTAAAGTCTGAAATGTATTTTGGATGTATTTTACATATCTTGTACATATTGAAAGTTTTAATTATTGTAAATCTTTTTGTAAACTTAAATATATATTAAATTTAAAAAATTGTGTGTTTATGTTTACAGGTGTGATAAGCCCTAATATAAATAACTATCGTAAGTTAGTAGATATGTTTAATAATCTTTCATATTTTCATGTTTTTGATTTTCAAGAAAGCAATAAAATGTATATGATAAGTATAGTAATCTCTTCATACTAAGTACAATAAATTTAAAGAAATTCTCCAATTTCAGTGCTAGAGAAATTTTTATATTTTAATTATTTCATTGCAAGTTAAAAAATAAAAATTACAATAATTGAATAAGTTAATATTAAAGCATAATATCTCAAAAAAATTGACAATTTACCTGCAACTTGAGTTAATGACTTTATCCAAACTTTGAAATCATCACTACGTTTTTCTCTACTAGAATTTTTAATTTCAGAAGCATTTTGTATACCAAATTCATAATTTTTAATAAATCCATTAGCAGTATCACAAGATAGTGAATCCCATTCAAAACTTAGTGAATTTTTGTCTTCTGAAATAACATGTACATTTTCAGGACTTGAACTTGGCACTATAAAAAAGTAAATATATTTATTATGTAATTGACTTTAATATATTTGAAATAATGAAAGAAATGAGAACAGTTACAACCTGTATTTACAAGAAATAAAATATATTAAATGTACATTAAAATTACTATTATCATACAGTTAAGATAGTAATTACATAATTTGTGTGTGTGTGTGTAGTATCAATAGATAATGATTGTCTAAATACATACATGTCCGAAACTTAAGAATTGACAACATTTGTAAAAGAAATCAACTGTACATGTCAGAAAGTTTAGATATGATCTAATTATTTGGAGAAAACTCACAATGAACATAAAATGTTAATACAGAAATTTAGAAAGTTTTTTGTTATCTCTTATTACAATTTGATAGTTAAAATTTGTTTATAGTTTTGTTCCAGATGAATGTAGCAATCTGCATTTTGATAATTCAAGTGCAAACATTTATTTCAGTAAATTAAAGTCAATTTTAATTAGATTAAGAAAAACTTCATTAAACAGGGCATCTTCACAATTTATTTACTTAATATGAAGTTGTTCCTGAAAGTTTTAGTTACATTTTCATATCTTAATAAAACATATCAACATAATTATTTATAAAATGTAAACATACCAGATTCCAAAGTTTTCACAATTATGGTTCTTTCTTCACCATAACCAGCAGAAGTGCTTGCTTGAACACTTACTTTATATGTAGAAAAAGGCAATAAATCTTTCAATATAACCTATAAAAATATAAATAAAACCATTATTCAAATTGATAGTTAAATTTCAGATTTTTTCATTAAATAAATAAATATAATATTAAATTACGTCATGTTGAGATTTGGGTACAGTTTTATTTCTGTGTACATTTGAAGATAATATATTTTCACAGAGACCCTGTTTCATCAATTCATATTTGATTAAATAATCCTTAAGTATTCCATTCATTACAGAACTTGTCTTCCATTCAATTACTATCAGTTCAGGATTCTTTAATATTTGACTGTATTTCAGATTTTCAACTGGTCCTGGAACTAATATTTTTAAAATTGTAAATGAAAATTATCTTATTAGGATGTTTTTGAATGTTATCATCATTTAAAATAATGTAATTCAATATTAAAGTAATCATGAAAGAAAACACAACACTGTTTAGAAACCAAGATGAGATTTAATCTAGATAAATATTTTTGAAATACTATACTTCAGCTTCAGATCCATACAAATATAAAATCTGAACTGATATACAAGTTAATTACCACTTACAAATTGAACAGCATGTATCATAAAAATTCCTTTTGAAATTTATATTATAAAATTTCAAAAGAATTTATAATATTGAATTAGTAAATAAATATTTTATAATTTTGGAAGCTAAATGATTTAAAATTTCAAAAAGTCTTCTTTATGACATACAGAATTCAAGAATTCAATTTACAGTTAGCAGTAAATATTCCGATTGGTCAATTTTAAATTCTGTATTTGTGAGAATGTGAAAATGGAACATAACATTCATTAAATCTCACCCTGACTTCTAAACAGTATTAAGTATTTATTTTATGATTATGAGAATAAGCCATTAAAATCAATAGTTAGTATTAGTATGAATAGATCAATATTAAAGACCTTTCACCTGCTTCTGGTGTAGAAAATTTCAATACAGCAAACTGTTGTCCTTTTCCTTTAGGTGTAACTGCAAAAAGTAGGAGAACATATTCTGTGAATGGTTGTAATCCTTCCAGGGTATAAGACTCTTCAGATTTAGAAATATTCACACAATGTAGATTATGCACCCCTATGCCTTCATAATAACACAATATATATCCAATCAAAGAACATTGTAATTCAGAGTATATTGGTGGCTACATTAAATGAAAAAATTATTTTAATTGAAAAAATTGATATAAAAACTATAAAAACAAATGAACATACCTTCCAAGAAAGAGTAATTGTATGTGGTGTAAAATGTTGAGGATTAAAATCAAGAGGAATAGCAAGAGATGATGGATCTGAAATGGTATTAATGAAATATTATAAACTAGCTGTACCTGGCTACACGTTGCTGTGGCTCATAATGTATCTATTTTAAATGTATAACACTCCCCGTGGAGGGTAAATTCAAAAAATCTCTTCTTAGTGTACATTCTCTTGACGTACCCTATTAAAACACAATCAAAAATACAAAAAACCGAATCTAAAATAGAATAATGGAAGACCAGTTCTTCATGGTAAGCCTTAATTTTGTCTCTCGCCCCCATGGGGAGGGAAATTTCAACATCTATATAATACAAGTTCGGATATGTGCACTACATATCTCACCAACCACGCGACTGCGCCGTGGTTACCTATCTCATATACGTATGTGTCTTGCCCCTCGCCACCCGCTGACACCAAAAATATAATGCTTACCTAGATAACATCTTTTAATTTATATGAATGTTTAACGGAATAATATACAGCCTATGTCCACCCTGAAGGTCCATTCTAAATATTGGTGAAAGAATTTTTGAAATCAGATGAGTAGTTTCAGAGATTACCTACATCCAAACTGACAAACTTTATCTCTTTATAATATTAATATAAATGACTTATTGTATCCTTCATAGAATGAAAATTTAATTTATTTATTTAGTTAATAACTCTTTTAACAAACAGTAGTGTGTTAAAAAAGTTGATTTAAAGTGTGATGACTTTGAATCATGGATTCCAAACAAGAGAAAAATAAAAATTGAAGCATTTGAAATGATGCTTTAGACAGATGGAGAAAATAAATTCTATACGTAAATTAACAAATCACAAAATGCTAGAAAGAATAATTGGAAAGAGAAAACTTTTATAAAGGTAATGAGAAGAAAGATAAGTTCTGCAGGACTGCATTCAGTGCTTCCCTGAAAGATATTATTAAAAAAACCTATCAAACAAAGAGTGAAAGGAAAGAGAAGAGAAGGTTGCACAAAATAAGGATAGTTTGACAACAAAAAGCAATAGACAGGATTTGGGATGGAAGCCTACATTAGATACACACATGTGCATGCACATACATACATAGAGAAAAATAATTCATACATAGAGGAAAATAGTTCAACATGCAAAACCCTTAACAAAGAGAAAGCAACTTAGAAACACATTGTTAGATAATGTATATTAGAATAGTCATCATTGCACAATAAGAATTTGCTTCAAATATATTTTTCCATTCATTAATATTTAATTTATTATTAGCAGTCAAGCTGTAAACCATGCAGGAAATGCTCAAATATAATATAATTTATATTCCGTAAATTTACTTTAGTTTCAAGAAAATCATTCTTTATTATATATCTGTATGTTTTTATTAAACTGTTTATTCTTACTTCCACATAATGTCCTAGCTGACATAATTGGACTTGGTGAACCTATTCCACCTTTACCAGATCTTCTACATTTAATGGCAATTTGATATTCAGTATCAGGTAAAAGTTCATGTATTACAGTACTTGTTGTAGATATCCAATTGTTAGTTGTATTCCATACCGTTGTTTCCCAAATACGATAAACTACCTACAGTTTAATATATAAATTATAAATAAACAAGATATTTAAATAATGAATTATTAATTATTATGAGAGCTATTTACTAAATAATCAACTCTATCCATTTCTTTTCCACCTTTATCAATTCCGTATTCCCATGATTTCCATGATATTTCTATACTGGTTGAAGTAACATTTATTATTTCGGGCCTTTCATTTAGTACAGGTGGATCTATTAAAAACGATTTTACTTCATATTAATTTTTAAAATTACTGTATCTTTACTGAAATGATATACATAAAGTTCATATAATTTACCGATCACTAGCAGAAAAAAAGATTTTATATCCCAACCATAAGTATTATTAGTTGAGCAATGAAAAGTATAATTTCCTGAAGAGTTGGCAGTAACATTGGCAATTGCTTGATATTGATTTTTTCCAAATTTTGTTATTGAGGTATTTAATCTATTCAAATCACTAGTTGTAAAAAAAAAAAAACAATTTAATAAGAAAGATATTATTATTCAATAAGTCAAACTATAGTTATATAAAAATAAAAACCTCGAAGTTATCTCCAGAGAAGGTGAAGGAATGGCATCAGCAGTGCAAGATATAAATGTATATTGTCCAACATTTATTTCCTGGTCAGAAGTAGCAATAATCTGTGGAATTCCTAAAATTATTTTTAGTTTAATAATTAAAAAAAATATGTAAACATTGATTATCATAAATTAAATAAATTTTTCACTTACTGTCTGTACATTTCTGTCCACGCCAATAACCACCACAAGTACAGTTACCATTAATTCTGTTGCAGACACCACCATTGAGACATTCACAAGTTTGTTGACAGTTTATACCATATGTGTTCATAGGACATGCTAAAAAATTCAGAAATAATTTCTTTTTTACAGAAACTGTTTTATTTGTTGTTTGAAAGGTGGAAAAGTTTCAATTAAAATGTTTTGGCTGATCATTTTAATAATGAAATTAAGTAGATATAAATAATAAATATTTAATAAAAAGTTAAGTAAATATAATAATAATCACTTTTAAAATTCTATAACTTGTATTAGATATTCTTAAATACTTCCTATTCCAATATTCTGTTCAAAACAAAAATATAAATATAAATTACTAGCTCTCTAGCTCTTTTGCCTTTATTATTTATTATTTTTGATTAATATTCTACCAGTACATATAAGATCTTTACATTAGATCTTCCTTTATATTCATCCAGTTTATGTAAACAGATATATTAAAATCATTCTTATTTCATTCATTTTCTTAATAAAACTGAGATCTTCTTTATCTGTTGAAATACTAATGTTTTTGTTTTCATCTCGTCTTCTTTCTTTTTCATATATAGTGTATATCATACATGTCTACCAGTACATGCCATTATATATACATATTGTATTTCCACATGTATTTTTCGCACATTTTTGCCATTTTTTTACTAATCGAAAATTGAGATTTGAAAAATATGTGAATTATTTTTGAAGAAGAACTATATCAGTATTTATTCACTATTTATTCAACCTTTGGCACAATATAGTTCTTCTATGTTGAGAAAGATTTTTCTTCATTATAAATTTGCAGACCCATCCTCAATTAACCTTAAACTCGAGAAAAGAAATATTTTGTGTCTGAGCAATATTGTGATGCATGATTGCAACATATCATGTGATATAGCACAGCCATCATTGTGTGTTTCTTCAACATCAGTGGCGTGCTGTCATTGGAAGCGGTGGATGCGCCACTTCCCTTGTATTTTCTAAAAAATAAATACATATTAATTTTAATTATATGAAAATAATTGCACAATATTTTATTATAACCGCATTATGTATCTTATTACAAATTTCTATACTACACATGAAAAAAAAAGATAAGATTGCTATTGTATATTCAAATATTAGTGGTGGAGTGGAAGCACTGTATTGTCAGCATCCAAAAAGCCAGATTCGTGCATGTGCTTTACAGAGCATCAAACTCACCCGATTTAGCTGGTGGAAGCCTAGAACCTTGGGTGGATGCTATACGTATACCACATCCAATTCTATCCAGGACCGGTTCTGGGCTATTAGCCGCCTGCCCGCTAGGTATTTGGCCGCCCTTGCCCGATTACGTAAATCCCGAGTAGATTTATAACTCAACCCAGGGCCTCTTAAACTTTTTTTATTCACAACTCCATTTATGATTGTGATTTTTTCGCGACCCCCAAATATAAAGATACAGTAGACCCCCCTATAACGCTTAGATACGTTCCACGCTAACCGAAAATTACGTTAGGTGGGAACTTTACGGACTAAGGCTGTTCGAAAGGTTTTCTTCTATAAAATTAACCGATTCTAGACTAATTCGACTCAACATTTCCAAAACACGTATAATTTTTTGGGAGTAATCCGTATAAACTATGCTATAAACAAAAAATTATAGGATTACTTACCGAGTGTGTACCGTTCGACTANATTAGGGAATTGGGGACATAAACAAAACCCTGATGAAAGAGCCAAAATTTTACTTAAACAAAAGCTTAACCAAACCATCTCTAGCCAAGTACAGTGGAGACTGACTTCTTCATATTATTAATGTAATAAAGACAGAAATTTTTCCAGTTCAATGAGAGTAACTGAAAAGTTGTAAATTTTGGAAATTTCTGAGGACACTTGATCCTAAAACGAATTAGTTAGAAAACAAATGACTATTAAGTTTAACATATTTAGATTTTTACAGCTATGGTGAGAAACGTTTAAAATCTACAACAGCCCTGTTGCGTCCTTTGAGATATACTAGTGATGCGACAAAAGAGATAAGAGAGAAAAAAAGAGAGTTGTAACAAAACTTCAAAGAGCAAGTCCAACTAGACAAAAAAGTGATAGCATCAAGAAAAATTGGTTGTTTGCCTTAATACGTGCATTTGATAATATTTTATTTGTGATTAAACAAAATAAAAATTGTATTAATAAATCTAATTTTCTTTATTCTGATCTTTAAAGTCACACCTCGTCCTACATGCGAGATTGTCTTATACACAAGTAAATATGGTATATACTGTAAAAATTCTTGTTGGCTGACATCTTGATAGGACATGATCCTATCTCCTATACTAAACGGTTCAGAGTGAGAAGTCTTGCATTTTCCATGTGAAAAATACTCAAACATTTTGTTATCCCTAAAAACATTCCTTGGAAATGCAGGTGTGAAAAATGCAGAAATATGGTAAATATATATATAATGGATATATATTGTCAAGAATTTGTTAATTAGAGAAGTTAAAATCTTGTTGAACTTAAAATACATTTCTCCTGACTACTACCAGCATTTGTCAATTTTTTTAATCAATTTATTGTTCAAAAAATTGATACTTCTCTTCTTTTAGAAGGGAATACTTGCTAATTTTTTTTGGACAACCAAGCCCTTTGTCACATGATGCACAAGTGAATCAATCAGCTTAGTAGCTAAATTACCTAGGTTTGCACAATCACCAGATGTTACATAACAAAGTTCATAAAAAAGTGAACTACTAAGTTAATTCACTTTTTTAATCACCTGATGATGGACTTAGTTGGCCAAAAGTCTCTGCATCCCTTACCTAAGCCCTCTTCAGCTCCTAATAACCCTGCTGATAACTTTAATGATGACACTGTAACCTGGAACCATTATCACTCTCTGAAGGATTCAATGACTAAAATATTAATCTGAATGACTTTTTTTAAAATAAATAAAATATTGTATCAAAAAATTAAAGTTTGTAACTTTTGCTGATTGTATTTTTATGTTCTGTAATATATAAGAAATGTAAATTAAAGCAAAGTTATCAAGTTGGAGTTTCCATTGGGCTGTTTCTTTATCAAGAATAAATAAAACAATTAAGTTTCTTGTTTATTGACAAATTTGCTTAATTACCTATTAAAATATTAAAACATTACTGTCTATTGGGGTTAAGACCAATAGACAGTAATGTTTTAATATTTTAACAGATATTATCTTGGCATGGTGATCTAATTGTTTTTATACTTAATGACCTAATTGTAGGAATAGAACTCAGTTGTTAAGTGAGGAATGTCTGTACAGTATATCTAATTCTAAATTAAATTTATTTATTTCTTAAGATTAAATTTAATATGAGACAATGGCTTAATCACCTACTTCTAGT